TTTGAGTTATATATACCGTTGGAATCGGAAACATTAGCTGAAACCAACGGTATGTATAACACAATAATGACCGAAAGTGTCGCTTTTCCCATTTTGCTTTCAAGAGTCGATAATAAATTGTCACATCATTTGAACCCTAAAGCCGTTGAAACTGGGCTTAATTTTTTTAATCCAATAGTAAAAGTTTGTATACTATTACCGTGTATCAACGTATGGATATGTTAAAAAAGTGAATTTAAAAATCCACTTTTATTATAGAAGGAATTGTCACAATGAGTAATTCAAAATTAGCAGTTTCTGCCGCCAGTCGCGGGGCTGCGAAGTTAACCAAACAGAGAAATCTAAAAATGCTACACCAAAGTAAAGGGTGTTCATATTTCAGTTTAAAAAATCACTAATCATTTATTTACATACTGATTCTTCTAAATATTTGCATCTGAACAATACATTAAAATCTTACAGCTAAAGTGCAATTGTTGAGGCCTATTAAAAAAAGAAAGAAGGCGTATGGCATTGTAGTGAAAGATACGAAATTAGCAGTGTTTTAAGCGTTAACAATTGCACGACTTAACACGAACTTACGTGTACTATTTTATCTTATTTTTAACGTTTTTTGATAGAGTTTAGGCAATAATTAACTTCGTCAAATGGAAATATGTTTTCACCGTGTAAGCTAGCTACGTCAGTCGAGGCGTTAAAATATATGTGTATTATCAATTCTTGTAAATTGTTTGAAATTATTGATATAACGACTGCATGTACGAACACTGTTCTATACCTGCCCCCGTAGCATGGCTACGCATGATAGTCGCGACGCGCGCGATAAAATTGAAATAAGCGCGCGCTATTGGCTATCTAAATTAGATCCGATTGAGACAGCCAAGATTCCATTTATTTACAAAGTATTTTTGTGAAATTCATAATGGTTTAGATTTAGAGCGGTTAGACACGGCGACTTTAGCAGCGATACAAACGCGCCTTTGATCATCGAAGTGTTGCGACGCGATTGCATCGCAGCACTTCGATGCCGTCCCTGATGTTGAATCATTACAAAAATGCATCGCGATTGTATCGCTGCTTAAATCGCGCCTGTCTAATGGTAGACGATTAACTACTGCATCGCTAATTAATCGCTGCATTTCGCCCTCTAAAAGCCGCCGCGTAACCGCTCTTAAGCCGGACGTTACAAATTGAATACATTATTACTTGATATTGCATAATACGATGTCGCTATCTCTTTAACACCCGCACGAAACTAAGCATCGAAAATGAATTACGAAACTAGGAGATCGCTACGTATTGGGTGTTGTCGAAATAATGTGGTGTAAATCAACGAAAATTAGCTTTATTTTGTTTGGTAATATATTTTAATTAAAATATGTAATATTAAAATATGTAATAAGTATTAACGAAGGACAAAGTAACAAATACACACATAACAGAATACAACATTGCGTTAAATCTTGCTATATGAAATTGTGACACATAAAGTATCAAAGACATTCCAAATATTAAAAACTTTTCTAAGTAAACAGTTACAGAACAAAAACACAATTACAATTTTCACAGAAGACTGCTAAAATTGTATTTATGTTGTGTAGTGTACGTAGAATGCCGTCGATATAATTGATACCCAGTGTTAAGCACTTTTTATAATCTGTTCCCGTTCGGGTGTCTTGCGTCAGTTTATTCAGTTGCTCTGGTAAAGTACAGGGAACTCCCTAATTTGAGAACAGGCAAGAGGTGTGATGTGCGTAAATTAGGACCTGTGCAGCGTGCCGGGGATGTCGCGCGATTACAATCGCAGGGACTTATTTAAACGTGTAGAACTAAATGACTCAGTGCAGCTGTCGAAGCTGTCGGTCAGTGTCCGGTAGTGTCTCGTCGCTAGACGCCATGCACTGTGCACCATGCACTGTGTTTCGTCCACTTCGAGTCGCGAAATATTGCCGGCACGATACACGAGCCCTTAACTTTTTTTAAAAATCGTCGCCGTGAAATGAAAACTTCGTATGTTACTTGGATTTGTGAGATGTAAAAATTGTGTTTAAATAGATACACATTGAATGACGTTTCAAAATGAATTAAATGAAATGTGTAAAAATTCGGAACTGATTTTCACTCTATGGCTACGAAAAATTGGTTAACAGTGCAATGAATGACATTATAACAAGTAGTTTTAACTACAAACAACTGAAAAGGATAATTAGTACATTAAACAGTTGTTATATTACTGATTTAGCAAAATGTGATTTATATTTGCCATTATCTGCCACCGCTCACACAACTAGCACACAGCCCGCAATAATTTGACATGTATATGGACTATTTTCTTTAGTATAACCAGCTGAATATAATTAAACAGTTCACCTTGAATTAATTGATATAAGGTTGATTTTTGACAATATTTTGAGCAATCTACATTTTTTTTGTCATTTTAATGCTGATTATAATTTTAACCTCCTAAGATCCAGCAAACTGCAATGGGAAAAGTAATAAACGCCCAATATACATTAAAAAATGTACTGAATATAAGTACATGCTTTAGGCTCAATCAAGTAACGCCCTCTTCAGTTACTTGTTATCTCCATTGCTAAGGTCGTGTCCCTGAAAGGTTTTCGAGACTTTATGAACAATTTTCTTCCATCTAGCTCTGCCTTCGGCCTCTCTCGGGGCTGATGTTATAGGGCGGTCACTTGGTCACTCCATCCGCTAGGTGTGGCTAACTGCGGAGTCTCTTTCTGTCCACCTTACCCACCGCAACCAGTATGTCAAGGTTGTCTGGTTGTCGGCGAGCAATATGACCATGTACGCCCTCAGTTTTGTACGAAAAACGTATTTTTCCAGATATCCTATGGTCATATTGAATATAATATAGTGCTAAGTTTGAACGCGACATTTGGATTATAATGCATCCTGGGCGTTCACGTGATCCATAAGAATTATATTATCTGGGTGTGAATCACTTCACATATTGTGTACATTTTGATGTATACGTGGCCTTAAGAGGATAAATAGAACGTACCGTTATTTGTAACACGGGATACTGATAATGATAATAAAAGAAAATACAGGATGACACATTAGCTAAATTAACTGATCACTCACGTATAAATTTTTGCTCGACACTTGCTTCCGTGGCGGTAGCTTTTCGTCAAGCTATACTTTGTTCAACCATTTACTTAACTTTTAACATAAGCATGCCTATGAAGTTCTATAATCGTTGATAGACAAATATCATCAACCATGGATTAAAAAAGCAATACTTCATGGACGCTGTTTTTTCTTTACTAATGCGACGCAACGTGCTATTTAGCTCCGATATTTATCGAGCCGATTGATTATATAACGAAGATTATTCAAGTTAATTTCGCTGTTGTATAGTATAGGTTTTGGTGCCTGTCTAATAAATTATAGTTAAAATTAATAAATTATAAATATTTATAATAAAGTCTAATTGTTTAACGTAAACGTTTACGATTGAAACTTCTTCATAAAGTCGATCGTAATAAGATACCGAATCGGTCATTGCATAAGAACATCACTAATTGTTTAGTACTCGAGCTGTCAAAAGTAAATTAAATGGTTGGACGGAGTATAGTTTAGTTAATACAATATCTGAGTCTCGCGGTAGCTTTCTGTTTAAAAAAGGATGACATATTGAAGATCTTACGGAGTATCTGTAATAAAGAGGGTCGGTACCATTGCAATTAAAGTTTTTGTTGTAATAAGACCCTCAGCTGAAATAAGCTCGGGCATGTCACGAGCTGTACAACGAATTTCATTTATAGACAATACAATACTAGTACTTTATCTGTTCAGTACCGATCTGAGCAGATATATCGCACTAAATTAAAAAAACATTGATTTTTTAAAACAGTTACTGGAGCCACTAATAAAAGGTCCATTTTTAATCTGTCGTCCTTCACTATAAACCATCAAAAAGAGTCGTCAATTAAAACCTAAACCCATTATCACATTCCAACATTTGCCTCAAGTGACACTAATTGTAATACGACCGAATAGATATGGGCAGTGAACGTCGAGACGGGTACATTACATTCTGTCCAACAAAACTCGGTCGGTTTACGCTAAATTGTGCGGTTTCACAGTACCCATTGCAGAAACGTTTTGTTGTCAATCAGACGTTCAATAAGTTGACGGAAAATGTGACTTTAAGAAAAAAAATTATTTTTTGTTTTGGCACATGAAAAGAGAAAAGGTGAAAGGGAAGAAAGAAAGCAGGAGGGACAGAAAGGTGGAGGTAGAGGCGATGGTATAGAGAGGGGTGGATACAAAAGTGAGACAGAGAAAGGGAAGAATGAGATGGAGAAACTGAGGATAGAGCAAAATAGGGTAAGATAGAGAGATAGAAGGTGCGAGTGATGTAGGCGGTAGAGACCAGTAACCAAGTGTAATTGTTCAGCGAATAACCACGACAGTTTTAAAGCCTGTAGAATCTGTACACCAAACAAATAATCGAAATTACTTAACACAAAGGTGTACAAAAAATTACTATTGAAATTCCATGAGGCGACAATGAAACTTGTCCTTATAGAACCCTGATCGGATTTGAAAAGCCTATATAAAATGTAATCAGGTGATCGGATTATTTGTGTGGAAAGGGTCTTTGCAAAGCCGATTTAAGGTCCATAGACAAATGCAATTTCGCTAATAATTATTTTACACCCTGTATTAAGAAATTTTTATTATACTCAAAGGTTTATTTTGTTAATAATGCCCTACATCATTTTAATTTATTAACTGTTCAAACTTAGAGCTAAGTACAGTAGGGCTAGCACGATAAGGCGCGACTAGCGCGAGAGCGACATAAAGCACGAGATACTGCTATTCTCACGCCAGTCGCGCTTGTTCGTTCTAGCCCTACAGGTCATATAAAATTCCTCATAATAAACCTAATAACGTACATAACGTCGATGAGTGAAAGGGAGAAAGGGCTGCTTTAAAGTTCACAAATTCATTAACAAAATCATTAAAAATCTCCTACGAAAAATCTGCTTAGATTTGGTTTAGCCCTCTTTCAACTGTGGATATGAATTTTCTTATCGTATTAATTCCTTCCCCGTCAACTCATTGAAGTACACTATAACCATACTCACACAACTCAATTATGCCGACGATATGTTTCTAACGTATTGGCCAACACGCGGGTGCTTCTATGGTCTACAATTCCGCTTATATTCTGCTAAAGCTATGATGATTATATGGGAAATAATATTCTATAAAATTAAAAGAAAATTAATATATTTTTGTTGGTTTAAACGAGTTTGAGTAAACCATCCGTTTGAAATCCTAGCTTTAGTAGAATGTATCGAACCTCCCTTTTTTAAAGTCTGTTAAAAACGATTTCGTTACCATCAAATTGATTATATTTAAAAAGTTAAAATACTATGAATACATAAAAAATAATCACGTGCCTAACAAATACTGTACTTATCGACGATTTTACACAGTTCTACAACAATGGGAAACAAAAAGCAATAATAAAATCGAAAAATATAACCTCTGCCTAAAACAAAAATTTTCAACAATTCCTTTTCATTCATTCATAGAACATAAAGGAGGAAAAACAATTTGTACCAATGCAATTTTCAGTAACAGGAATGTAACTTTTTGTTATAGCAAAGAGTTAGGAAAAAAGCACCCAAATTTTAGATTTTTATATAGAACCTTTCCGTGCACTGGTAGTCTCGTAGCCAATCCTTCTAGAATGCTAGCTTGTTGGAACTCTAAAAAACCTGGGGTCGACTTTCGTTCTCCGTCTGACATCCGTCCTAAACAATTACTGTGAAATATGTAATACTCGGCCAAAATAATAATGCGAATGAAGCCTCATGCTTGACATTGTCTTTTGATGTAGATCCCCAGGTATGCAATTTCATTCTTCAAGAAAATTACACAGAAATCACTGACATAAAGATTCCAAAGAAGTTGCATCTAGAAACTCACGGAATATTCTCGAACCTTCGAGAACTTTTCATCAGTGGCGTAAAGAACGAGTCCCCAGATTATATAAAAGCATTTACATATACGAACCTCACTCACACCAACCCACGTTACATATGCGTAATTATATTAACAGTAAAAATTAACATCTATGTATGCATTTATTGCAGTCCTTTATACAGCGCACTTTTGTTTGTCCGGTGCGTACTATGGAAGCTATGCTGGTCACACTGGCTTGTTGTGTGTCTACACTACCTGGAATGATAACAAAAATTGAATGTAACAAAAAAGACTTTAAATGTGAGGTGCTGTGTTATCTTATTACTTTAGTAGGATTTTGTAAGCTTAAGGAAATGACATCACAAGTATACATCTTCCGTAATAAATTTTAGGATGCAGTAAAACTGGTCTCCGAAGGCCCAATACGCCACTGCCATTAATGGAATCTTTGTCTTGTACAAGTATGCTGTTAGGGATATTTACAAACCGGACTAGAGTGTCTATGAGATATGCTTCAAGAAGTTAACAATCTTCAACTTCAACTTTTGTATATAGGTATGGCTCCGTCGTTTTGCGCGACCATTTCGCCAACGTCAAGGTTGGAAGGCTAATTAATATAACAAGGACTCAGTGCAGTGGTGAGATAAATTGCCGGTTATTAAAATACTTTAGCGGTTTTTATGCAAATTGACGGTTATCATTTTTTATAATATTAGAAAAATATAATTTTCATTCAGCCAGTGTTGCCAGTTTTCATAAAATTCTAAATAGTCATGTAGTTTTATCGATATATAATTGTCGACAGTTTTATCGATGGATTGTGAAAGAAGGTAAAATTTTGCCAAAAATGTTGGAATTGTTGATGTCCTGAAGGAGTCTCAGGCGAGGGCTTTAAGCCATAGTCTAACCAAGCTGACCCCATGAACGAGATAAATATTTAAAGAGGCGACTAGGTGATACCCATACCGAATATGTACAAAAACACTACCTTATTTTGAAATATTTTTCTCTAAGGAAAATACACCTATAACATTTTGTAATACTATGCGCAAGATCGAACATGCAGTGAGTGCCGGCCACTTTTACGCAGAGGTGCCTCTGCGCACGTTTTTTTTTACACCTAAAATCGAACACGTCTCTGTTAATAAATGAATCAGAAACGTTTCATTCCGAATGCATGAGTAAAACTCCCATGAGTCTCACTACAATGGTTTTTGGAGAGAACCTCGACCAAAGTTTATGTCCCGAATTTGGTATTTTTTGAAAATAAAATTCTAGTGACTAAATCGTTGCAGCTAGGCAATTCGTTGGATTGTTTTTTGAACGGCCTTACTTGTAGGCATATTTATTACAAACGAGTTTTGGCCGCGCCATTTAGTCATTTCTTACTTTATTTTTTTCTGGTTTTATTAATACTAGTTGGATTTGCAACTTGCTTTAAAACCTAGGTGCACAAAAACACTAATTTCTAAATGCAGTTAAAAATTAACTGTGTGACAAAAATATTTAACACAAGCGCAGCTATTTTGGACGATTTAACTTCACTGGATTCGCGGGTAGCAAATTAATTTGCTTCCATTTGTTTTTTACAATATGTGGTGATGAATGAGAGACTCATCTCTGTGAATACTCTGACAGCTTCCTAGCCTAAAAATCACCGTATGCCAAATGGTATTATAGAAGCTTACCTGCCCGGTTAGTTCGCTGCGCTTTTGTGTTGGACAGGGCGTCACGTTTATCACGAGTGCAGTGATGTTCATAACGATGGCTTATTAGTATTGCACATGATGAGGTGTTACGTTATGGTATGTTGTGCAAATGATGTTATTAGTCGTGCAAATTCGTGAAGTCCGCTTGTGCTTTCCGTTTAAAAACAAGTTTCAATAAAGGACATAACTATCTTATTCTAGTATTTTTGTAGTATATTAATATTATGACTACTTGTAATCAACAAATACTTGAACGAACATTATTCTATTTAGAATCGTATCGTACGTATTCCGTTCAATTAATAGATTTAGAGCGGAAGGTTTCCCATCACTAAATAGTTCTGTGACGTCATAGGGGGTACAAAATACGTTTACGTACGAACGCTTGGTTTTCATACAAATTGCTGTACTTGCGGTGTCTATCTAGATATATGTCTGTGGAGTAGCCCAAATGAAGAGTGTTAGTATTTGTAAAATGGCACATTTTTTTCTCATGTTTAGGGGCGATTCTTTTTACATATTCGGATTAAATATCAGCTACTCGTTTGCCTCTTTAAATATTTATCTCGTTCAACATGTCGCCCGGTATATAAATACCTGACATTTGAATTAAGTATTAATTCAATCGGTTAGAGTCCAGACGATGCTGACAGCAATACGAAGTTACTAAACTCTAAAGTTATGAACATTTCACACAAGATTAAGACAGTTTGATTGTAATACCGTACGAAAATTACAATAATTACCTAGAATGGTGTATATTTTACAGCAGCGCGCACGCCCGTTTCTTCTTCGGCGGCGGTAGAGGCACGAGTACAGCGCGTATCGCCTCATCGAACACAGTTTTGAGGCCTTTCTGCGTCAGCGCAGAGCACTCGAGGTACTTCACTGCGCTGATCTCCTTCGCCATACCAAGACCCTGAAAACCAACGGAATAAATCAAATAATAAATAATCTGAGTACAGAGTACAAAAAAAACAACCTCAAATGTTCGTGGAATTACATCTATTTGCCAAGTTTTTTGGAACTCGGTTACCAGAAAGTGCGCGAAACCGGATTCATCATCCCCTAGTTTGCCACCGGTAGAGGTGGAATATTTGCTTGTTTGCTTCAAATGTAATTGGGACCACTGCTGAGGTACCCTCATTCCAACAAACAAAAAGAATCATCAAAATTGGTTCACAAATTCCGGAGTTATCATGTATACATACGAAAAAACAGTCGAATTAAGAAATTCCTCCAAAGTCGGTTAAAAAAGACGCTCAATGAGTGCTGGAGAATTAAAAAAGTGGCGTAATCACCATTGACTTACAAATAAATGGACGACGGGTCTAATACAAAAACCACGAAAAAAATGTCCCAAGTCAACCTATTCGAAATTTAAATTGTAATGTCATCGCAGTATCGCGCTGTCAGTAGAACAAATGAAGACTAAAGCGGAGTGTCGCGCTCTGTATACGATTTTAGCGCCTTACAAGTGCGGACACTTTTTAGCGCGGACCCGACGTCCATATAATTGTAAGTCAATGGTAATCACGCTCACTTTTTACGGGATTTAAAAAAAAAAATATATTTCCGCACATTTTTTGTATGTGTTTTAGGATCATTGCTATTATAGCCTTTGATCTATTTAAAGGCTGTGGGAAAAGCGTAGGCCCACATGATTAAACATCGATATTCAAAATGATGTCTAAGGGTCATAATGTTATAAAAGTCAACAACCCTTAACATAATGTTACCTGTGGGTAAGTGATGGGCGCAAGTTTTTTGTCTTTAAGCTTCTCGATGGTGTCCTTATCCTCGCGCAGATCTAGCTTGGTGCCAACTAGGATGATAGGCGTCGACGGGCAGTGATGCCGCACTTCCGGGAACCACTGCAATTGCAGATTACTTTCGTGAACAGGTACTACTAACACATGATTAATCTATATAATGTTTTCATTTTAGTGACAATATCGCAGGCTGAGCAGCGCGTTTCGGTACGTCGTGGTTTGGTTTGCGTTCTATTTGTAACGTGCACACACTCATAGCCCCGGACTAGGGAAACCCTGTATCGCGGGTGCCATGGACACACACATAGACCACTACAAATTACACGCAAACTCACGAGAGAAATAAATGTAGCCCATACAAATATTTCTCTCGGCCTGGGAATCGACCCCGAGACCTCTGCGTGGCATGGTAACTGTTCGGCCACGGAGGCAGTTTAATTATATAGTAGACATGTATATATAACTTTTTAAATATTTGTTTTGCAATATCTATAGATAATAGTCAATCTGACTACCGTGAAACGACTCTGAAACAGCAGAATAATGGCAAGAAATCTCAGAAAAATGTTTTATTTTTATTTTATAGTTAAGGTACATCAACGGTAGTACATAATACTCTTAGACAACAGTGTAATTTTGCTTTAGTTTTATACTTTTATTCTACCATGTTACAGATGTGCACTGCATTTTAATGTATACGCACAGTTAAGGCCAGGCATGTAGCTTATCATCAGGCGCACGACACCGTCGCGTCACTTGATATTATGTTATAAAAAAAGCAACAAAGAAAACAACAAAGAACTTATATTCACATTTCGTAATAAATACTGAATGTAGTTTTTTATTTTTTGTAGGATTTACCAGTTGTTTTTATGTGTAGTTCTATCAACGAAAAATGAAAAAAAATTCAGTTGATTACTTAATTAATAAAGTTATGGAGCTCGCTCACATGACATCGCAAACATAACGAGAAATGAAATAACGTTAGTTTATTTTTAACCGACTCCAAAAAAAGAAGGAAGTTGCCAATTCTTTTTTTCCAATAGAACTACAAAACAATAGAACAGCGCCTCTACCATGAGATTACAATGACAGTTATCAGTAAAATGTTTGCATACAAAATGTTGTTTCTTCTTGTGACCGCTACTACTCGGTCGCTAGCGATAACTGTCACAGTAAACTCGTGGTAGATGCACAGAGCTCAAATATGTTTGTCTGAGACAAGAGCCAAATTAGTATTATCCTGTATCTTAGAACTCCCTGTCCCCACCTTACTATCTGTGGGGTAAAATTTGCACTGTTAGTAATAAGAATAAAAATGGTAACTCTTATTTAAATATTTTTACTCTATCCTGTATACAAAGTCTATAAAGCCATTTAAATAAATCCACGCGCGAAAATGAACCCCAATAATTTTTTTGTACAGCATGTACAGCGTCAAGTTTGACACTTAAAACTTAAATCCAACTCTATGCCACTTACGACAAGAACGGTGGTCCAAAGTACAAAGTGTCAAGCTCGATGTGCTTTTGACTGTACATCAAATTATACTGCACAATCGATGCTCTAAAATATCTGATCCCCTAACCGACCATTTGGTTCGGAGTAGATAAGTGTGAAGAAAGCTGTTTTTAAACAAACTTAACTTCTAATAATATGTAATATAAGAATGTACGAATAAACACAATGGCTGACATTTATGTTATGATATCGGTGGATACAGCAGAAAAGCAGTAGGACGCACAAATTGGAAGAATAACGGAACGGCAAGAAACAGGCAAGACGTTTAGGGTTTTTCTTCTGTTTGTTTGTCTAATAATTGATTCTGTGGTTACAATAAACTGGTTATGTACATAATGAATTAAACAAACAGCTTGCGGTGCCAATGATATTTCAGGTCAAATAACAAAGGGTTTTCAATATTACGGTTGCGGCGAGGAAATTTACATTGATTAAAAATTATAAATAAATCATACTGAAACAACACAAGGAAAGTTGGAATATTTTGTTTTGGAAAATTCCTGCGGAAATTACTAGATACAAACATAAGGAGGACAAAATATTTTATGACACGCACATTTAACACATTTAGAAGTGAGCGTTCACTTGGATTTGCAAGGGAAAGTAAAATTTTGTAATGCTAATTCAACGTATTTTTTCTTTGCTACCATTTTTGTTATCGTAAGTCGGATCAAAGGCTGAAATAGAGTTAAATGTTTTTGTTACGCCTGTACAACACTAAGTACGTAGACGCATTCTTAATAAGTTTTTTCTTAATTTTCCATAGCATTAAAAAAGAAGAAGAAAATGATTACCTTAGCTCGAACATTCTCGAAGGAGGCCGGATTGACGAGCGAGAAGCATATAAGGAACACATCAGTCTGTGGGTAAGACAGTGGCCGAAGTCGGTCGTAGTCTTCCTGCCCCGCTGTATCCCATAGTCCCAGATTGATCGGCTTCCCGTCCACCATAACATTTGCGGAGTAGTTATCGAATCTGGAAATAATAACAGCTTCTTCAAATTGATTCTTACTTCCGATCATACAGGGTTGGTTATTGTTCACTGTTCGTACACTACCATTAAAAGAAATAACTTTTGTTATACAACAAAGAACTAGGGAATTCTATGAGCACAGAGTAACAAAATTAACCGCGGAGCACTATTTGGAACACCTAAAATCAATTTAGAATAATTCGTTTCTCTAATTACTCATATCGGAAATTGAACTCGGGATCTTCTCATCTAGCACACAAAGCATAAGGTTTTAAATTTACTTACACAGTAGGTATGTATTCCCCGGGGAAGGCATTTGTGGTGTAACTGATCAGCAGACAGGTTTTACCGACGGCACTGCGAACAAAGGAGCCAGAGTTAAGTACAACGATGTAGGACATTATCAACACCGTCTCAAGCAATTTTAGCTCTAGGACGGATAAGGAACAGGCAGGCTGAAGTATATGAACACTTAACAGAAGGCATCTTGAAATGTCGGTATTGGAACGCTAGACGCTAATGTAGTGACAACGTTTTAAGATTTTTTATGGTCATTTCGCCACGAAACAGCTCTTTTGGTGTGCGAGAAACCCACACTCGTTACCATTATGTAACAAATTTACATATATTAAGCAGTGTGATTAGCAAATGTTGTTGTCGTGTTCTGTAGATAAAAAAGAAAGACATATAAGAGAGAGATAACATGACGATTGTTAGCACAATGGCCAATTTTATACATAAACTCTATTTAAACTGTGCATATAACACAAAGATATGAAATTGCATTGTTTCGTGTTCAGTTATAAATAGCGAACTCCCGTCCATAAGTGAGTGGAATTAAAACCCGACAATTTGGTATTGTCCGCATAGCTACGTCTGGAGGCGATTTAAACGGGTCGATTTATAATACCGTAATGTAGCATTCTATCCTCGTATCGCACGACATCCTGTCAGATATTATACATCTGACCAGAGTTCGCTGGCATCTGCAGTAATAAATATAAACTCAACTTGACCTCTTGGATTTACTAATTCTTTATCAATAAATTGCATTTTTAGATTGTTATCTACTTATAGAAGCTTCGTAGTGTTTGGGTCAGTTTGTAATTTTTTGTTCATTTTCATAGATAGATATTTTGGATGCATAAACATTGGTTCCATATGAATGATTTATACAAGAAAAGTTGTGTTAAAGTGACTCAACGTAGGTCAAAGATTTGTACCGCAATCGTAACGATGACTCAGACGAGGTCAAATCAGTACAAATATTTCGAGTGGCCAGAACAATTGAACAACAATCGGACAGTACAATACTGATTTTGCTGCACTTAATGATGTAATTGATAAAACACAAACTCGAATAAAGAAATATTTAAAAAAATTATAATATACAAACCCCATTTAAGGCTACGTCCCTTTTAACATGTTTATAAACGTCGTCAGCAAAGGAGCATTTATTTAGTGTTTGAGGAAAAAAGAATATCGAAAGAAGGCAAGTGTGAAGACAGGCGTGGTCCTCGGATAACTTAAAGTTAACGATAATCGACAATGACTACTATTTACTTAATAATTTAAATAATTGATAATGAGGAATTCTTTCACAAGGAGCTTTACTTCTACAACAACCTATGGAATTCCTGTTGGCTTCTGCACGTGGCTAGGCGATATTCTGAGGTACAGGTGAATAGTTGTAGTTGGCTACTCGTTAATACCCTGTGTACGTCAGGGATCTATCCTCTCCGCTAATCTATTCTTTCTGCGTATAAATGAACTGCTGCTGAATATCTTTGAATATGCAGAGAACACAGTAGTGGTGGAGAGTTATCTGTGAGATGACCGTGCCTACAACGAAGAGTGAGTCGTAGAAGAATGTGAGACGATGATCACACGGTTGTATCACAACCTGTGGCTGAAAGCTGCTTCCAATTAGGAAGATGTAAATGTGGTCCAATTTAATGACATTAAAACACAAACGCGTCATTTCTCTGCAAAACGGAGCACTCTCTCTCTCTCTCAGACTTTCAAAAACCTGTCTGTGCTGATAGTTCATTCAACCTCAACTTTGGTGGGTTTCAGCGAGTCCTTGACAAAAACCACTGCAAAAAACTAGGCATTCTTCTCAGGGTCCAACTGTACGAAGTACGATTTTTACGAAGCGCTAGTTCACTCACTTATGGCGTATTGCAGTGCGTTTGGGACGGCTCTGCTCGACACTAATTAGCAACTTTGAACTCGGTGAAGTGAAGAAAAAGAGAGAAGCAACGACCGTGTTATAGAATCGGACTTTCAAAATCTCAGCCATCGCAGTGATGTTGATTGCTTGTCGGTTTCTGATGAAATGTATTTTGGAGAATGTGTGCAGAAACTTTACAATTTAGTTCCATTCATCACCGTTCCTCCTTGGGTCGATTAGAAAGTCCGGACTATTCCGTCTCCCAATGGTTTGCGTCGGAGCCGTTGGATGAGGAGGACCCATATTCAATTCATCATCATCCCATGTCTGTGGATCAATTCGGAAAATGGAAACTTTTCTAAAATTCTGGGCTAGGCGTTCCGGGCAGGGCTCCTAAGTGAATTCCGTTGCTCCTTTACTATAATGTAGGGAGTTCTTAGTTTGCAACCAGGTAATTGGTGTGGTCGTCTGGTACATCGTCATTACTATTAATTTTTTTATTTATTTTTTATATTCATTTAAATCATGACCTTTAGAATATATTACACCTTAAGGACTGACATACTGCCCATTGGCATGAAGTGCGTTGCTTCCTCCTTCCAATTACCTTCCTCCTTGAAATACCAGAGTCATCATTTTAGACAAACACGTAACCATCGTCGTTGACTTCGTCGTTACTTAACATATGTGATTCATGTGATTATTATTCTTGCCTGTTCCTTACCTAATCTTTTTACTTTAAATGGATCAAGAATACTTTAAATCACCTAAGGCAACTTAAACCATCCTAGTCCAGGTTCAGCTCAGCTCTATCATAATAGCCTAATACATTGTAATATAAGCTCTTATGAGTACTTATGTGGAAATCAATGACAGTGTGTTTGGAAAATATGGTTTATAATATTTATAATTATTGTTTCAATTATTACAATTATTCACCACCCAAATACCATTTATTAAAATTAATATTCTTACAATTTTATACTTCTCTCTTGTTAAGTCTACTTTAGACTTAGTAGAATAAGGAGTAATTGTGATGAAACTTCCCTGAAAGGGTATAATTTAATATCTCTTCAAAATAAGCATAAATATTTGACTTAGTTGGCGTATAATAAAATATGTTTACTGTTTTGCACAGGTTGCATCATATTGTAGTGAAATATTCAATATTATCACATATACTTGAAATATTAAACCAGAAGTTTACATGCCGTTTGTGGTACATTACACGGTTTCAAAGGGTCTGGTTGTGTGTACATCAATCATTTGAACCAAACAC